TTCTTTAAATTCTTTAAAATCTTTTTATATTTTTTATGATTTTTAAAGAATTTCAAGATTTTATTGATTTTATAAAATTTTACATACCGTAGGGTCCGCCATAGACCTAGGCCAATTAAGATTTCAAAGAATTTAAGGAATTTTCCTTAANNAAAATTCTTTAAATTCTTTAAAATCCTAATATTTAAGATTTTAAGGAATTTAAAGAATTTTCCTTAAGGAAAATTCTTTAAATTCCGTAAAATCTTAAATATATTTGAGAAATACTCACAAGTTTATATAACAAAGGCCACCCGTCAAATACAGCATAAAGGTCCTACACACATATACCCCTATATGACCCCTGGATCCCCCTCTAAAGGTACCCCTGATTTTCGGAAACCCCCACCTGGTCCCAGGGAACGTCGACAGGCCAAAGTTGCAACGAAGGCCCGCGGCACCATGGCTGTGGCAATCTGCAAATTCGGGGGCCTATTGTTATCTAATGTTACTAGCATTACCATTATCACCTATTAGTTGTACTATCATTACTGGTACTATTATTACTGGTATTTACTATCATTACTATTGTTAGTATTTTTTATTCCTATTGCTACTACCACTTGCGTTTCGCATTGAGCTGCAGGAGCGGGATACTTGCACCCGCAATTTTCCTGGCAATCGCGGCTCTGATGCAAAAGTCAACGTTTATTGTTGTCTACGACCATTGTTCGCTTTAGTTTCTCATAGACACTCATAGACTGGCCTCAGAGCGTGTGCATTGTCCATGTCTCATCCAAGGCCACATTTTTCGCGGCAGGTCGAAGCCTGAGCACTTAGGCTCTGTTCAGTGAGCCAGGGGATAAGATTCTTCCAAGTTCAGGTTACCTTTTGGAAGCCCTTGTTACTTTCAAAATGCGAAGTGTTGTGACATGGGAAGTTCCCAAAAAGAGATGTTGAGAAGAGCCCATGCCTTCCCATGATCCATATGAGCTGTGGTCTTAACTCCTAAAAGGGGGTATATAGCGGCTTATATAAGGGACTACTGTAGGTGTTACTTGGGGGGATACTAGGAGTTTAGACCGTGGCTCATCATTTTCCATTCACCATTATACCCCAAACTTCGAATCCTACACTTAGAGTTCAGTAAGAGTCGTTTGCTTTTGTTGGTTCTTGCTTACGTTTCATACAAAGCGATCTCAAAACGCTAGGTTGTTTCTAATTTTTCCCCAAACCCTAAACCCAAAATCCTAAACCCTGAAACTCTAAACCCAGAGCCCTAAACCCAAAATCCTAATCCCTAAGCTCCGAAAGCCTACTCCCTAAACCCCTAAACTCCCAACCCCTAAACCCTAAAACCCTAAAACATTATACTATAGTATACCCCCATAATCCCTATAGTTTCCATGTCATTTTCTATTATCCCAATACAACCCTACCTAAACCCCAGGGACATGAAGTGAGACACAGCTCCCAGGCCGAGAGGCCTTTGCCATCCTCAGCCGTTCTCAGTGGCTTGGCCAAGAAATTAGGGGTCCTTTTAAAAAGGGGATATAGGGGCTACATAGGGGTTATATATAGGCTTTAGGGATTAAGGTTTAGGGTCCAGGATGTAGGGATAATAGCCTCCCAAAAATGGAGAATCAGATGGAAAAGAAAAAACAAATGAACTGGCAAATGGATTAGAGTAGACGCTGAAAGGGTTGACCCTAAACCCTAAACCCCTAATACCTAAAATCCGGCATGACCTCACTTTGCTAGCATCCCATCATTCCGAAGCTAGAGCAAACAATGGGGATATAGGTACCCATCCGGGGGTATATATTGGGGATACATTGGGATAATGGAAAATAAAATGGAAACTACTACTTAGGGTTTAGGGTTCAGGGTCATGCAGGATTGAGGGGGGAACAGTTCCCGGTTTCAAGGCCCATTGGTTTCAGGCTTGGGTGGTGTTCCCCTTTGGGCTTAGGGTTTGCAATCCCAACAAGAAACAACCGATGGCATCAGAAGGGTTGAGGGTCTAGAGTCACTAGAGGGATCACTTTCGAGGAAGAAGCTCTCTTGTTAGAGAGGACATGGAACCTACACTAAATCCTAGACGCCAACTCTAAACCCCTGGCCCTTAGCCAGACCTTCATCAGCAGATGCCAGTTGTTCAAAAGTACCATTGAGGGATTTCCCTTTGTACCTAGAGCTCCCAGACACTAGTTGAGACACCCCATGCCCTGAATCTCAAACCCTAAGCCCTGAACAATAGAACATTCCCTCCCCCCAAAAAGGCACCAAAAACAAGTTCAAGGCTAAGACACTCCAAAAGCACTAGCCTCAGATGAGTAGCATTTTATTTAGGATGCGCTCCCATGCAAAATAGAGTAAGATTACATCCTGTTTTGAGTTATAAGAAGTTATATAAAGAATATATAGTCCCCCTTAAGTAGATAGAATATGGTGCATATGGGGATCTTATTATACTATACCCAAAACCATATTCTATCTACTTAAGGGGGATTATACTCCTACTGGGTTCAACCACCGACAAAAACCGCTACTCGAATGTCCAACGGCCAGGAACGTAGACTCGCTGGCTAGAAGCCGCCATCTACGAGGACAGATGGTAGCTTCTATGTACAGGGGAACCCAATATAGGGTTTAGGGTTTAGGGTTAGGTGGACCCCCCACCCAGTAATAGTGACTATAGGGGATAATATGGATTATATTAGGGCCTCTTATATTCCTATTATACCAATATTACAGGGTGGGGGGTCCTCCTGATATAGACCCCAAAAATTGTAAATCTACCCCGAGATATCCCTCTGTATGATGTACCTGCATATGGTAGTCTACCAAAATAGGGGAAAAACCTAATGTAAACCCCAAAAATACTATATCCTTATTATGGGGACCCCTTAAAAAAGGTGAACTACCCAAATCTACCCCGAGATATCCCTCTGTGTGATGTACCTGCATATCCCGATATATCCTTAAAGATCCTCGAGCATCCCTATAGAACCTAGAAACTTCTGCGGTTTAGGGGTTAGGGAGTTAGGGTTTAGGGTTTAGGGTTTTAATGTTGAACTCCATCTGTTTGTTTGAAGACGCCCAGCTTGCTTCAGGCCTTCGTACATGGGAGTTTCCAAAGGAAGCCCCAAATGCATCCCAATTAATAAGGACCCTCATAATCCATGTGTAATCCATGTGTTACCCCTAGATCCCTGTATAGGCGCTTTTGATCTCCACATGTTCCTCAGATACCTTATTTTGTGACTCTCCTTTGCAAAGCTTGACAATCCCTAAGCCCTAAACCCTAGATGTTCCCTATATAATCCCCTGAACCCTAAACCCTAGATGTTCCCCATATAATCTCCTAAATCCTAAACCCTACATATCCCCTATATAATCCCATAAATCCTAAACCCTATATATATCCCTTATATAACCCCCTAAATCCCTAAACCCTATATATCCCCTATATCATCCCCTAAGCCCGAAACCTTCCTATGGCACAGCGGAGCAGCTTCTGCAGCGAACTTGCCCGCAGGACATCGCATAGCTCGCAGAGCTGAGGCAACTCAAGCCTAAGAGTAGGGTTTAGGGTCTAAAGGGTTTAGGATTTAGGGTTTAGGGTTTAGGGTTTAGGGTAGGGTTTAGGGTTTAGGGCAAATAAGAATAACAACAATAATACTAGTAGTAATAACAATAGCAAGAATAGTAACAGTAGTAGTAGGAAAAAACCATGATAGCAATAGTAATAACAATAATAATGGAGGTAGTAGTAGTGATAATAATGACAATGATACTGTGGAGTAGTAATGGCATTTATCACAATAATATCATAATAGTAGCAACCGAAGCAGTAAGAATAGTAACGGGAATCATGGTAATAGTACCAATTGTGGTACTTTCCCCAATAGGGCGAACACGATATAGACCCCAAAATGCTATAATCCTTAAAAAGCTTCCCTAAACCCTTCTCGGAACGATGCCTCGCCGTTTGCTCATGTCATGTCTGATGTAGGTGCAGGAGCTCGAGGATGTAGAGGAGGACTAGGGGATACATAGGCGTCATATGCGGGCTATGTGGGGAGTGGGGATGTATAGGGATATATAGGGGTTATATGGGGTCGTATAGGGTTGTGCAAGCTATATATGGTTATGTGGGGGCAATTTGAGGCTTATAGGGGGGTTATGCAGGGATATATGATAGAGGTTATATAGAGGTTTCAAGGGGTCATATAGGGATTTAGGTATATGTAGACACTCGGGATATATATATATATATGTATATATCCTTAAACCTTCAAACCCTAAACCCAATAGGGTAAGAATGGAGGACGAAGAGCCTGAGCTGGATGTGGATCTGGACAAGGATCCCAACTGGCTGAAAGTCAAGCAGGCGCATACTATGAATTAGTATTACGATCATCTCATTTTCTTACAGTATTAATACTGATATTCTTGTATTTCTTACCAGATTAAGTCCTACTATCATATGATTTCATTACATCATCATTGCTATTGTGGTTATTAGTGTATTACTACATTCTTACTAGGTTATTTCGGTTACTGTTACCATAATTGTTAGCTGCTAGTCTCAAGTCGCAAAGTGCTCCTACCGGCCGCTGGGCAGTAGAGCTCCACAAAACTTGCAAGGAAATGGGCCGGATTTGGGACATGCGATACGAGGCGGAGACATATCCAGAGTGTGTTCGTCCACCCTGGGAACCCTAAACCCTAAACCGTGTGTATGATGCTAAGTCGGAAGACTGGATCCTCGCGGACGATGTGAAAGTGCGGGCCCCAACGGCGATTTTCAGAGCTGAGACATCTACCATATAGGGTTTAGGGCTTAGGGGATTATGTAGGGGATATATAGGGTTTAGGGATTTAGGGGGTTATAAGGGATATTAACACAAATAACCCCTATATAATCCCAGTTTCCATTTCATTTTCCATTTTCTTTTCCATTTGATTCTCCATGATTGGGTACCATAGTATCCCCAAATAAAAGCTTGATATTAAACCCCTAACCTCTAAACCCTAAATAGTAGTTTCCATTTTATTTTCCCTATATAACCCCAATATATACCCTATAATATAACCCTATAACCCTTATATAACCCCTGAGAGCTTGAGCAAAGCTCGTCAATAGACCACCAGACAGCGTGTGGTGAGGGGATCATGGATGAGCACCTACAAACCATCATTGGCACAAGCCTCAGCAAGTAGTTGAGGGTTTTTAGGGCAAGCGTCAGCAAGTGGAGCCATGAAAGAGGGAGTGATGCTGGGGGTTGTCAGTCTAGAGAAGTTTCCTTGATGGAGGTTCCAAAGATTGAGGGTCCCGTTTTAGGAGTCCCTACACAAGGGAGACTGCGCGTTTTGGCGGCACATGGCGGCACAGAATACTCCATCTTCGGCAGCATGACTTCAGTTGCTTGCTGCTCAGCCACGCAGGCAAAAAGAATTACCTGGAGATGGAGGAGGTTTTCGTTGAGGCTGCAGGGCTTCCCTATCCCCACCCGAGAATTATGCACATGAGCTATAGTCTAAACTCCTTAAAAGGGGGGGTCTATATGGGGCAGTATTATAGGGCTTATTAAGGGGGATGCTAGGAGTTTAGACAATGGCTCACATGGATAAGCGCCTTCTCATCCATGCCTCAGTTGATCTATCGAGTCGGTGCTTCGATCAGTAGACCTTTCACTCAGACAGAGTCATACCTGTGGCATGGATGGATTCAAAAGACTGAGTGAAATTATTGAAAGCCCCGCCACAAGCATTATTTGCGCAGGTAGCTGACGAGGAGCCTAAACCCGGTGAGATCAGCAAGGAAGATTTCACCGAGGCGAAGGGAGCAAGAAGTCTTTGGACGCAATCGTCTACTAATAATAATAAGAGTAACAATCGTGACAATAATGATGACATGATATGGTGACCATAGCCATATGATGATAACGATAAGAATGCATACCAGAAGAGGAAGGAATCACCAGTGGCCTTGCAACCCTGAGATTGCTGGCGCCTACGTCTTTGGCACGCTGTATCGCCAGTGATCCCTGCCAAGCCGCCGAAGGGAAAAGCCTTGTCTGTCTGCAACTGACATATGCGCTGTAGTCTAAACTCCTTAAAGGGGGCTATATAATATAGGGAATTTATAGGGGACTATTCCAAGGGTTATTAAGGGGGAATCTAGGTGTTCAGACTAGAGTTCATTTGACTTTCAGCAATTCCCAGTAGTCCCTATACCCTAAACCCTAGATTTTAGGTCATCAAGTCGCGTTCCGTTCATGTTGATGAACACTCCCCCCGCCTCCAAGTGCATATGGGCCGGAATGTGCGTAATTAGGCGGTCCAGCTTTCGCATCAGCTCCAGTACGCAGATTTTTTGGGATGGGTTTTGTGGTTAGCTTTTATTATATGCCACATGGCTACTATTATTATTCTAGTATTAGCACATTGTTGCTTTTGAAGTTTTGTGTTGGGGTTGGTGACTGTTTCGGTTCAGGTGCTATTTCTGCTTTTTGGAAATTCTGGGCTCCTGGAAACATTGTCTGTAAGTTTGGTCCTTGACCGTCACAGTAACTGCTCCCACAATAGGCGATAGGAGTTGTAATAGCCCCTCGGTAACCCTTTAATAAAGAGTCCTACGAGGACAGTTACTGTAAGGGGGAATGACCCAATCTACAACTGCTATCAGTCGTTTTTGTCCAAGGAAGCACCCTGAACCCCCCAACCCCTAGGCCTAAACCCCTAAACCCTAAACCCCTAGGCCTAAACCCCTAAACCCTAAACCCCTAGGCCTAACCCCTAAACCCCCCACAATCTGAGGGATGTGTGGAGGCCCTTAAGTTCCCTGGACGGCCTGATAGGCACATTTCCCGTAGGCAGTTAAGTAGTAGGGGTTATACAAGGGTTATGTAGGGGTTATGTGAGGATCATGTAGGGTTGTTTGGGAGATTTTCTAGTGCCCAGTAAAGGATAGCCTTGTTGCACTCTGAAGCCATTTTTGTACTTGCACCTGCTTCCCCGGCCATCGCCAGACGCGTCGCAGCCGCGCAGCTGCACCTACGTGCAGGGCACAGTTGCACCTAGCGCGTTGTTACTGGGCTTTCGGGGATTTAGCAGCTTAGCACAGAGCAGCACAGCAAGATGCCGTATGTGCATGGTCTCCAAGGTTAC